TGACATGCTTGAAGTCCATCCTGGGTGACAATGCTGCTCCTCCATAGATACAGAGCAGTGAGAGAGCGTTGTCACCCGAGCACAGGAAGTGAGTTACTGGCAGGATCACCAGGTGAACAGAAAAGAAAAAAAAAGCCTAAAAAAGGAAACATATAAGATTAAAATAATATAAACAAAATAATAAAAAATATAAAATTATCAGTAACATAAAACAAAAACACAGACAGAAAGTCTCCATAGAATGTGTCAGCCTATTAGGATTTGGTGGGTTGTTGTTATCTCACTCCAATAATAGAGGCCAAACATTGATTTCAGTATTTTGGGGTGTGTATTATCTGGATACAGCCTTGTGTCTTGCAGAGTGTTAAGGAAGTAAAACTCCCGGTATACCCAGATAGTCATTTTTGTGTCCCTTCTCCTACAGGTATAGAGCCGTGACTGACGCCTGCTCTCTCCAGCCGGACATCGACCTGCTGCCGTTCGGTGATCAGACAGAAATCGGAGAAAGGGTAACATAAAAGTATTTCAAAGGAACCTGTAACCATGTGCATGTTACTCTAATCACCTTATCAGTGTCCTGCGAACTGAACATGGCTCTGTTTTCTTATCACTACCAATAATGATAGTTCAATTGAGCAGAGGATCCACCTTAACGGATAAAACAAAATGGCATGGGGTCCCCCATTAAAACTTAAACCAGACCCTTATCCATACCAGACCCTTCTGGTCTTCTCTATACCAGACCCTTATCCATATCAGACCCTTCTGATCTTATCCATACCAGACCCTTAGCCATACCAAACCCTTCTGATCTTCTCCATACCAGACCCTTCTGGTCTTCTCCATACCAGACCCTTATCCATATCAGACCCTTCTGATCTTATTCATACCAGACCCTTATCCATACCAAACCCTTCTGATCTTCTCCATACCAGACCCTTCTGATCTTCTCCATACCAGACCCTTATCTAGGGGATAAGGGTCTGGTAGAGATATTGCGGGGGGACCCCACGCCATTGTTTAAAAACAGAACGAAGCCAGCTAGGAAATAGTAGCAATATATTGTGTTTCTGTAAATGTCAGTTTTGCAGTAGTATGTTGTACATACTGTATGTGCAACATCACATGCAGTTTTAAGACATCCTTCAAGCATGTTATTCAAAAGGTATTGTATATTTTTTAATGTTGCCCTTTAAGCCGCTTAGCATTACTTTTTTTTATATTTTTTGCATTTGTACATGTTCCCCATGGCAGTGCCCAGCACCTCCTTTCCCCTTTTTTTTTAAACAAAATCTTGCAAACCGACCTTGAAAATGGGGCCAAAAAAATGACAAGATTAAGTTCCCATAGACTTCAGTGGGGTTTGAGCGCTATATCCAGGTTTAGTGAATTATTCCTAGGTCTGATGCCGAATTTTGCTGTGTTCTCCCATCCTTAGCTACAATAATATTTCAGAACACTGAAAAGAGGATCCACCTTCATGGATTAAAAAAACCCTGTGGGGTCCCCCTTAAAATCCATACCAGACCCTCATCCATACCAGACCCTTATTCAGTGGGTATGGATTCTGAGGGGGACCCCCCATGCTCGTTTTAAAACAAAATTTTGCAAACTGATTTTAAAAATGTCCATCAAAAATACAAAATGTGACTTCCAAAGACATCCAGCAAACAGAACTTTGCTCTGTTGGCTCATCCCTGTGACGTACGCCCGGCCCAAACCCGCTGTACGTCAATCCCAGGTGACTATACACAAGTCTGAACCGAGCGTGAGCGTCCCAAGGACGTGGTGATAGCACTCTCAGCCTCACCCTGCACAGAGATTCCCCAGCTCGCGGGACACAATCTCAGGCCAGCAGACTGAGAGCGATCGTCACCAGGGTTGGTTAACTCCGAGGTTAACCCTTTACCCACCAAACGTTCACTGCCACCATGTGTTTTTCGTGTCGGAAACACAGACCGTGCCCAGCAAATTCTGAGACAATTTAAACACTTAACAATGCTTGTGATACCGCTGTCCTCTCAGACAGGAATATGACAGGATTCACTATACAGTAGCGCTCTTCACAGAGGCAAGGAGACTTTAAGTTCGTATTTAGAGCGTAGAGATAAGCTTAACGATTTTTAAGATCGTCCTTTAATAAAAGAAAGGGTGCAGAAAATATACAGAAAAAGATATTAATAAAAAGAGACAAAATATATATACAACAGCAAAATAAAAGGGAATAAAAGAATACTCAACAGTCCTGGAATTAGGAGTTCTGACAGAGTTCAGAGTTCAATAAGCAAAAGAGAAGTCTGAAGGGCTCTTCTTCAAGCCGGCTTTCAGCAGATGATGTCCAGAGATTAAAGGGGAACTCTTCTGCGATGTTAAGACTTCTTAATTCTTTGTTGATGTTTTAAAATCCAAGAGCCAACTCTAGTCGCCTAGACGGAATATTTTATAAGCCCCTTAAATGGGTGTCCCGGGGCCGGTCCCTAGGGCAGGGCTGGGGAAGGACAGCAGGGAGGAGGATAACCCTTAATTTTACACTATCCCTGCCCAATTCCAAATGATGAAATGTAGCTGATTTTGTAGCTCAGGTTTTATGACTTTCGGGTTGTCCACTGGTAATAGATGAGGGCTTGGTGCTATGCCTTTAATTAGGGACAGCCATAAAAGGCTTAGGAGTTTTTGGACTCACTTCTGCTTGGGGGCAATAAAAGATCACAGCCATATTCCTAGGTCTGATGCCGAATTTTGCTGTGTTCTCCCATCCTTAGCTACAATAATATTTCAGAACACTGAAAAGAGGATCCACCTTCATGGATTAAAAAAACCCTGTGGGGTCCCCCTTAAAATCCATACCAGACCCTCATCCATACCAGACCCTTATTCAGTGGGTATGGATTCTGAGGGGGACCCCCCATGCTCGTTTTAAAACAAAATTTTGCAAACTGATTTTAAAAATGTCCATCAAAAATACAAAATGTGACTTCCAAAGACATCCAGCAAACAGAACTTTGCTCTGTTGGCTCATCCCTGTGACGTACGCCCGGCCCAAACCCGCTGTACGTCAATCCCAGGTGACTATACACAAGTCTGAACCGAGCGTGAGCGTCCCAAGGACGTGGTGATAGCACTCTCAGCCTCACCCTGCACAGAGATTCCCCAGCTCGCGGGACACAATCTCAGGCCAGCAGACTGAGAGCGATCGTCACCAGGGTTGGTTAACTCCGAGGTTAACCCTTTACCCACCAAACGTTCACTGCCACCATGTGTTTTTCGTGTCGGAAACACAGACCGTGCCCAGCAAATTCTGAGACAATTTAAACACTTAACAATGCTTGTGATACCGCTGTCCTCTCAGACAGGAATATGACAGGATTCACTATACAGTAGCGCTCTTCACAGAGGCAAGGAGACTTTAAGTTCGTATTTAGAGCGTAGAGATAAGCTTAACGATTTTTAAGATCGTCCTTTAATAAAAGAAAGGGTGCAGAAAATATACAGAAAAAGATATTAATAAAAAGAGACAAAATATATATACAACAGCAAAATAAAAGGGAATAAAAGAATACTCAACAGTCCTGGAATTAGGAGTTCTGACAGAGTTCAGAGTTCAATAAGCAAAAGAGAAGTCTGAAGGGCTCTTCTTCAAGCCGGCTTTCAGCAGATGATGTCCAGAGATTAAAGGGGAACTCTTCTGCGATGTTAAGACTTCTTAATTCTTTGTTGATGTTTTAAAATCCAAGAGCCAACTCTAGTCGCCTAGACGGAATATTTTATAAGCCCCTTAAATGGGTGTCCCGGGGCCGGTCCCTAGGGCAGGGCTGGGGAAGGACAGCAGGGAGGAGGATAACCCTTAATTTTACACTATCCCTGCCCAATTCCAAATGATGAAATGTAGCTGATTTTGTAGCTCAGGTTTTATGACTTTCGGGTTGTCCACTGGTAATAGATGAGGGCCTGGTGCTATGCCTTTAATTAGGGACAGCCATAAAAGGCTTAGGAGTTTTTGGACTCACTTCTGCTTGGGGGCAATAAAAGATCACAGCCAGATAGCAGATCTCTGGAAGGACCTGGCAAATGACTAAATGAAGGCCTGTATTTGCTCTGACTGAGGAACAAAATAATTCTATTTTTTAATATTCAGACTCAGACCCCCATTATGGTCACAATCCCTACCTACAATAATAGTTCAAAACAAAGAGATAAGGATCTATCTTGGCAAAAAAACAAAAACCTGTGGGGTAAAGGTCTGGTATGGATTTTGAGGGGGACCCCATGCCCTTTTTTAAAGAAAATCTTGCAAACTTACCAAATTCAGCACCATTGGAGAACTGAACGTTGCTCTGTTCAGTCATCTCTACGTACAATAATAGTTCAAAGCACCAAGAAGAGGATCCATCTTGGCAGATCAATATTGATCAGCTGCAAAACTGAATGATCCTCAGCTCCTCCCTGAGCTCGGTCGGGAGGCTGCAGTGGGTCACAGACATGCAATCATTATTTCCTTTTCAGACTCTTTTTTCGAGTCATATTACTCGCTTTCCTGACATTCCCCAAATCTCTGACCGCCAGCCCAGAGGTTTATTTATAAAAAATACAAAAACTTTTAATTTATATTTGATTCATAACTGCAAAAGTTTTGAAGTACTTGACATAACCTATAAACACAAACGCGGTGCATACACACGGAGCGCCGGCTGGTGACGCCTTCTGGCGTGTGAAAAAAAAGAATTTCCCTCTAAATGTTTATTAGAAGTTATGACAATTTCAGCAAATCCTGAAATACTGTTCCATAAATCCTGTGAAAGCGTTATCTGCACACTGCAGCTAAAAATACGCCCGCTGTTTGCATTCCCGGCCGGGGACGCTGGTGGCATCTACAAATTATTTTGAGGCTAAAAGCAAAAACCATTAATCAGTGTAGATGGGGGGGGGGGGCGACCTTGCAGTGGGGCACTGCGTTATAGAGAAGCCGATCTCTGGATAATTCCAGGGAAGACAGGACACAGCGCGGACGCACATCACTAGATACACGCAGTGATTGTTTCCCTGCCGTTCGTCACAAAATGTTCAGATTTCAGACAATTCTGGTAATTGTTTCCTGCAATAAAATCATTTCTTCTCACCGCTTATCTGTGCCATGGCTGGCCACAATCTCGAGGAAAATTGTCCACATGCTGAATATTAGAATTGTCTTAGAAGATTTTCCTGTCGTGTTGCTTGTGTGTACATTAGACATGTGCAATTTGTTTCATTCCGAATCAAAATTTGTACGAATTTTCTGAAATACAGACATTTGAACACATCAGAATTTCCAAATCCCAATGTGTCCGAATCTGAATTTCCGTTTTCGAATTTCGAATCCCGTCCGAATTCAAAAACTAAACTGAATCGGACATGTGACTTTTCTGGCCAATCAGATGTGTTTTTCGGTTTAATGCACCCAAATGGGTCTGAATACGAATTTTCATTAAGGCAACATGGGAGCCATATACAGTATATACATATAATACTAAAGCTGAGGCTCCCAGACCTGAATGGCATTCGGGAACTCCCCAATGCAAATTGGAAATTCGGATCCCGAATACCATTCGGGTCTGGGAGCACCATCTTTAGTAATATATGTACTGTATATGGCTCCCAGACCCGAACGACATTCAGGATCTGAATTTCAGAATTGCATTGGGGAGCTCCCGCATGCCATTCGGGCCTGGGAGCCTCAGCTTTAGTAATATGTGCATATAGCTCCCAGACCGGAATAGCATTCGAGAGCTCCCGAATGCTATTCGGAAATTCGGATCCCGAATGCCTTTCAGGTCTGGGAGATCCAGCTTTAGTATTAATATCTGTATATGGTTTTCTGTGGTATTTGCAACAAATATTCGTAAATTCATCTGAAATTAAGGAAAATTCGGATTTCGTCCGAAACCCGAACTGAATTGAATTTCGGATCCGAATCCCGAAATAACGAAATATCCAAACCAAATTTTTACGCAGCTTACATGTCTAGTGTACATTTTACATAACTGCAAGCAAAATTAAATTTGATATATTCAACACTTTATGGAATATCAGAAGCAAAGCAAGAAAATACAATGCATAACGCAGGAAGGAATTTTGCTCCTTTGCATGTTCATGTCTGCGTGTCTTTTATTCACTAGGGCATTAATTTAAGTGGAGGACAGAGGCAGAGAATATGCGTGGCACGAGCCCTCTATCAGAACACCAACGTCGTCTTCCTGGTAAGAGAGATCCTTCCACTAATATTACATTGTTATATATCATGTAACATTTCTTTATTCAATAGTTACATTGAAACTCCAGCTGAATCCTTTTCTCCTGTAACATGGTGTGTTCATTCATCACAGGAATGTATGTAGCACCCACAATGCTTAGATACTGCAAATTTGTTGGAACTTCATGCACAGCCTCACAGAGAAACACAAGCACACAGTCTGATATGTATGCTGCACATGGCTTGGCTAAAACAGGAAGGAAGCCACAGCTTTATTCTCTACCTTGTTCAATACAAATGGGGAATTTAACAGAACTTATGAACACTGCCATCTACAGACCAAAAATGTATACTGCAGGAGTTATTGCTATAAATACAATAATGTGTATTTTAACAAAATTCACGTCAGTCCCTGCCCTCAAGGGCCTTACAATCTAAGGTCCCTGTCTCACATACATGCAAGGCCAATTTAACTCTTTGGAGTGTGGGAGGAAACCAGAGTACCCGGCAAAAAATCCACCCAAGCACAGGGAGAACACGCAGACTCGTTGCAGATACGATTGTATCGCATATCGTAGTGTCCTGCCCGGGATTCAAACAAGGGACCCCCAGTGCTGCAAGGCAGAAATGTAAACCACTAAGCCACTGTGCTTCCCAATGATTTTCCTTAAGCTGGCCATAGACAGCTCACATTTAGTTTGTTTCTTGTCAGTTGGCCGAAATTCAAACCATAGGTGGTCCTTTGAGCACCACCCGCCTCTTCAGCTTTGTCGAGCCAGGTGGTGCTCACATGGTTTGAATTTTCCAAAACTATCGATCCAACAGTAATTGCAACCAATCAGATGCCCTCACTGTTCAGCAGCGGCAGACACTGGCTGCCTTATTACAATAGCCGGCAGGGTACATTCCTCCATACACGGTGCTTAGTGTGGATAGGGGGATCAAGTGATCTACATGTATATGACTAGCCTTAGTGAGTTGCAATGTGACAGTATGGGGTTTGTTTATAAACATTTTGCTGAGCCAGTCGCTCTACAAATCTCTGTGAATGTTCATCCTGTTCAGATGCAAACGAAAATTTGTACAGGGTTATTCACAAAAGGGTGAAGAGTTTGGAGACGGCAGGAGAAGTGAACAATCTAGGCCAAAATAGCTGATTTGGAAAAATTCTCCAATTCAGCTCACTTTCCAGTTCAGCGATGTTGTCCTAGATTGTTCACATCTCCTGCCTTCTCCAAACTCTTCACCCTTTTGTGAATAGCCCTGTTAGTATATTTTCTTTACAAGTTGAATGTAATTTTGAATGTAATGTAATACCACATTATGGTCACTAGATGGAGCTGAGGAGCATTGAAAATAAATACTTATTTTGTGTGTTCCTCTGCTCCATCTAGTGGCCAAAATGCAGTATTAGATTATATACATTTAAAATACACACAAAATATCTGGACTATATAATATGGATCTATGGTGTGCCAGTGACATATATTCTCTTCTATATTTATGTGCCATGTGTATTATGTGTTGAGATATGCTGTTGTTGCAGGATGACCCGTTCTCGGCTCTGGACATTCATCTTAGCGATCACCTGATGCAAGAGGGAATACTGAAGTTCCTGCGGGATGATAAGAGGACGGTGGTTCTGGTCACACATAAACTGCAGTATCTGCCACACGCTGACTGGGTGAGGGATATTTAACTATTTAATAATTCATTTATATAATAGTATTGTAAGTTTATGTGGGGTTCCCACCATCCCTGCTCTGAGTTCTGGGGTCTGCACAATTGCTGTGCCCCTTATGAGAAGTTCCCACCATCGCTGTGCTGAGTTCCCGGGTCTACACACCTGCTGTGCCCATTATAAGGGCTTCCTGCTATCCCTGCTGAGATTTTATTTTATATTACAGAGAGTAAAAGAGGAGGACCTGGGATATCCCTAGGTGGGCGGGACATATGACAGAAAATTCAGACTAAGTGGAGGATTAAAAGAAATGTTACATATAATAACAATTAAACTGGATTTGTTCTGTTTGCAGATTATCGCAATGAAGGAAGGATTCGTCCTGCGAGAAGGGACTCTGAAGGACATTCAGAATAACGACAATGAGCTGTATGAACACTGGAAGACCTTGATGAACCGCCAAGATCAGGAGCTGGAGAAGGTTTACCTTAGTCTTATCATCCCTCTCTGTTGGATCACCACTGTCCATGTATCGCTCCACCCCGACACATCACCAAAAATGAAACAAAACAAACGACAACCGCACTCAACAATTTGTTACCAGTTATACAGTAAGGTGCACAGGAAATGGGCTTTGAACAGTAGAACAGTAGAAAGGCATCATGGCACACTCACAAACTAGCATGTAAAACAACTTGTCTCACCACTAAGGACAATGACAGAGGTTTGGATACACGTCTTCTGCAAAGGATGTGTAAGCCGCACTGCCGCGCCAAGGCACCTCTTATAGTGCGGTCCTAACTCTAAACTATGAGAGTCTCCATCTTGGAGCACATGGGGCAGAAGATATCAAATTGGGTGCAGGCCTGTCAGGAGGACGCCCCACCTCCTTAAAGGTACAGAAACACACAAGGGATCCCGCACATCCCATTGGCAGCTGAGAAACCCCATGCCTCCTTTGCAGACCAATCGCCCCATGAGCAATTTATACTCTAGGAGATTTCCGATTATAAATACCCATGTAGTGTAGTCTCAGGCTTCAGTTATACTTTGAAGCTGAACTCCAGGCAGATATATAAGACACAAATTTATGCAGCTTTGCAATCATTAAATGTATTTTATAAATGCCAGCAGTGTAAGTACCTGAATTTAACTTGGTATCAGCCTCCCGGCACAGCAGGGCTGGAGTATGAGAGGACATTGCAGTGCAAGTAACCCATCCATTGATATATTGCCAAGAAGCATGCTGATAGGAGGGGAGAGTGGAATGACAGAGAGATAAGCTCCAAATCGTGAGAATTGTGCAAAACAATGAGCTCATTACCCTTTCACAGGTTGGGGGCGGGTCCCAGACATCCTGGGCTCAGAGAAAGTAGGATGAATTATGCTGGCTATCAGACTGACGACATCTAGTGGCAGAAAATAAGTACTGCGGGGGTAGTTTTGCAGATATCATTCACTGATGAACGCACAGTGCTGCAATTGTGTCGGATTTATGACTATTATTTGCATTCTCACACCAATGGCAGCAATTAGTTAGCGATCGAGCATTACTGTTCAGATATCAATCCCGGGGATTCTGTGAGTGCGGCAGTCTCCTAGTCCTCAGTCTGTTATTGTATGTTTTCTCTGGTACAGGACACAGACGCTGACCAGGCCACCCTGGAGCGGAAGACCCTCCGGAGAGCCATGTATTCCAGAGAGGCGAAGGCAGCGATTGAGGATGAGGGGGAAGGTGAGGATCACTATACACTATACACAATACACTCCATCAGATACAGCGCTCAGCGGATGGCAGACTGTGCCGGTCCTCCACCCTGACGCTTCATTGGCGGGGCATTGTGGGGGAATCCTCACCCTCTCACCGATGTGTCCCATCCCCGATTTCAGAGGGGTTTACAGAAATATTGGGAGAGCTGCTCTTGTTGCGATTAGGGATGAAACGATTGATTTCGGCAAAATTAATTTCTCTGCAAAATGACCAATTTTACCTTCTGAAAAAAAAAAAATCAGCAAACTCAACTTCTAATATCACTATGACAACAATTATTAAAAAAAAAAATTAACACTTCCCATTGTGCGTCGCAAAGTGTTTGTGTGTTTTCTTTTTTAGATTTTTGTGTATGTTATTATTTGTTTTTTTTGGCAGAAAGAAAACAAGACGACCGGAAAAGTAAAGTAAAATATTTAAAGTGACTGAACACAAATAAAGTACGGACACTTTGAATTGTATACTTTAATCTTTTTTTCTTTCTGCATAAAAACAAATACTAACAAAAAAGCTAAAAAAAAAAAAAGCACACAAAAAATACAAACCTTTATTGGACCCTTAAAAACCATCTTAAAGTGACAATAAAGTCAAAAGATTTTTAAATGATTTCATATGCTGATGAAATCACTTACAATGGATGCAGCTTCTTGATGTTTAAAGTTTTAGTCTCCTGCAGAATCAGCTGGTCCCCTGAGCACTGGTCCTCATATCCTGTTTTAGGGTGGCTCCTTTCCCTTGCAGGGTCCTATGGAGCCCCCAACCCTTTGTGTGCTAGTAAGCTGTGTATGTCTCAACAAACACACAGACAGAGCAAAGTAAAGCTGCCCCCCTGTTCCCCTCTCCTGTTTCTCTCCCCTTCCTGCTCCAAGCTAGTAGATGGACGGCTGCTGTAGACTGCTCTGTCTCTTGTGATTTTGTACTAGACAGGAAGTTCAGGGAAGCCGAGCTGAGAGAATTAGAGCTGGTCTGGACCATGATGACTATAAGTTTTTGTGCAAAAATGTGAATAAATACTTTGCTGTATATTTGTTTGATCTGGATTCAATATATACTTTTAAGTAGTATTAAGCTCTGAAACTTTTTCCAATAATGAATCCAGATCAAACAAATATACATCACCCAGCAAAGTATTTCTTTACATTTTCACGAAAGCACTTACAGTCATCATGTTTCCAAACAGCTCCAACTCTCTCAGCTCGGCTACCCGGAACTTCCTGTCCAGGACAAGATCACAAGGGACAGAGCAGTCTCCAGCAACTATCCATCTACTAGCTGGGAGGAGGGAGGAGCGGAGAGCAGGGAGGAAGGGAATGGCTCCCGTTACCATGCCTGTGTGTTTATGGAGACACACACAGCTTACTAGCACACACAAAGGTGGCTCCATAGGACCCTGCAAAGAAAGGAGCCACCCTAAAACAGGATATCAGGGCCGGTGCTCGGGGGACCAGCTGATTCTGCAGGAAGATAAAACTGTTAAACATCAAAAAACAGAATCCATTGTAAGTGATTTCATCAACTGACTAAGATGGAAATTCCTCTTTCTTTGGGGGATTTCCTCTCACTTAATGTTCAGACTCTTGGACAGGAAGTTAAGAGAAGTTTCCACAATGGTACACAAACATAAAATGCAACCTGACAGGGATCAGAACCCTTCCCAACTCTATCCAACGCTGGCAAAATAAGTTTAGGCTAGATGTAAACTTTAAGTGATCAAAAGAAGCTAGTGATGAGCCATTAGGTCACATGCCTCTCGCTGGAACCACAACGGCTCCATCCATGGTCATCACTGCAGCATGCTGTGACCACGTCTTCTGACTTTATGAACTGTGCCTGAATTTGTGTTGTACCCTGACATGCAGGGTGTCACCAAGACAGGAAGTGAGGGAAAATCTCCCCAATGTTTGTTACCCCTCCGCACTATATCCAAAATGAAAAAGATAGAATTAAAGATCTTTAGAGTAGAATCTGGAGATATCTTTTTTACCCAAACCCACAAAAAATGCTGCATGCTCTATCTTCCCAATGCTTTCCACAGAGGAAGAAGAGGAGGAGGATGAGGAAGACAACATGTCCGTAGCCATGCGTCAGCGCACAAAGATGCCATGGAGGACGTGCTGGAGATATCTGACCTCCGGAGGATTCTTCCTCCTTTTCCTGATGATCTTCTCCAAATTACTGAAACACTCCGTGATTGTGGCCATCGACTACTGGCTGGTGAAATGGACGTCCGAGGCCAGAAATAACACCAACTCAACGGTAATGTAATATATATATATGTGTGTGTAATCTTCCCCTGGGTCTGTGCTCCCAAATATGTGTATCACGCACTAGTTTTACACAGTGATATAGCTCTGTTGGGCCCCTCCAGAGCCTGAGGCCCCGGGCGCCCGCACCGCCTGCACCGGTGGTAGTTCCGCCACTGCTGACATATTCAGTAGTGCTGTACAGAGAACACTGAGCGAGTCAAATTTGTCTCTGCACCAGAGGAGCTTACACTCTAATGCCCCTACCACAGTCACATTCTATTATTATACATTTATAGAACACTGACATATTCAGCAGTGCTGTACAGAGAACACTGAGCCAATCACATCAGTTTACATTCTAATGTCCCACCACAGTCACACACTATTATACATTTATATAATACTGACATATTCAGTAGTGCTGTACAGAGAACAATAAGCCAATCACATCCGTCTCTGCACCAGAGGAGCTTACAATCTAATGTCCCACCACAGTCACACACTATTATTATACATTTATATAGCTCTGACATATTCAGCAGTGCTGTACAGAGAACACTGAGCCAATCACATCAGTTTACATTCTAATGTCCCACCACAGTCACACACTATTATTATACATTTATATAGCTCTGACATATACTGCAGTGCTGTACAGAGAACATTAAGCCAATCACATCAGTCTCTGCTCCAGAGGAGCTTACACTCTAATGTCCACCCATAGTCACATACTATTATTATATATTTATATAACACTGACATGTGCCATAGTGCTGTACAGAGAACACTGAACCAGTCACATCAGTTTCTGCACTAGAGGAGCTTACACTCTAATGTCCCACCACAGTCACATGTTATTATAGTTATATATGTGAGTATATACTGGAATTCCTGGAATCATTGTGCAGAAAGTGATGATAAAATGGCGGAATATGTCTGACGGGTGACACCTCTCTTCAGCTAGGTGACCCGAATCGGACGTACTATGTGATGGGGTTCAGCATCCTCAGTGCTTCTGGGATCGCCCTCTGTCTTATCACATCTCTGACTGTGGAGTGGATGGGGCTCACCGCCGCCAGAAATCTGCACAACAACTTACTGAAGAAGATTATACTGGCGCCAATCAGGTAACCAGATGACAGAAATTCAAATCGATATCTCTATTAAAGTAACTTTGTGAACATGAAGAATGAATGAAACTGACTGATTTTCATTCACTGGTAAAATGCATTGGAGTCAATGAGGAAGGCAAAATGATGATGGTTTAAGGTGGTTTCTAAGGGTACAGTGTATGTATGGCTCCATTCATAGAAACAGTACAGTGAGTGAGCGTTGTCACCCTAGCAGGATCATCAGATAGAAATAAAGGCAAAAAGCCTGTAAAAAAAAGAAATCTAGTCGCCACATCTAAGGACTGGAATTCTGCAATATTTTACATTTTTGTTTTCTGGGTTTAGATACACTGATTATCTTTCTCTAGTTTTATACATCATGTGTAATCGATATAACTACAATTGTAAACGAAATTCCATCAAGCGTGAAATTGGCAATTTTGCATCATCATGCAAAGTAACCAAAATTCACCACTCGTCTCCATTCTTGAGAAGGGAGAGTCAACATTCAATCCCCTCATGAGTCTTTATCATCATCTGCGGGGGAGATCTTTCCATCCCACCCGTCAATGTTTTCATATGAAGAAACCACTATAGGGCCGGTGACACTATAATGCTGATACCATACGCTGGTGTCACTGCTTCCTGGTGGATGCTCCATAGAGTATATGGAGAAAGTAGTGTGTCATAGCAGCACAGAAGGTGTGGGATACCACCTGGGTCACCAATATTAGTACTGCTGGTCCAGCTGATGATCAAATCCTCACTTACTTCACCAAAAGCTGAACAAATTAGGATACAGTCTAGTCCAGTTTAAGAAAGTCTCAAGTTTTTTCAAATGTTGCAATCATTTGGGGGGGGGGGGGGGGAGAAAGACACATGACCGTGGCATTCAAACAATGCAGATGTTTATTGTCCAAGAACAGAATATGAGGTGTGAAAGTTATGGAACCACTCTGTTCTAGCTACATAACCCCATCATTGGTGTCAATAAGTCTGCATATGTGTTAATCATTCGACTCACAAGGCTGAATTGTGGAAGGGTTAGAGATGTTACACGGCATTATATGTGGAAGGGTTAGAGATGTTGCACAGCATTATATGTGGAAGGGTTAGAGATGTTACACGGCATTATATGTGGAAAGGTTAGAGATGTTACACAGCATTATATGTGGAAAGGTTAGAGATGTTACACAGCATTATATGTGGAAGGGTTGGAGATGTTACACAGCATTATATGTGGAAGGGTTAGAGATATTCCCCAGCATTATATGTAGAAAGGGTTAGAGATGTTACACAACATTATATGTAGAAGGGTTAGAGATGTTCAATAGCATTATATGTGGAAGGGTTAGAGATGTTACACAGCATTATATGTGGAAGGGTTAGAGATGTTACACAGCATTATATGTGGAAGGGTTAGAGATGTTACACAGCATTATATGTGGAAGGGTTAGAGATGTTACACAGCATTATATGTGGAGGACAGATGTGTCAAAGACAACTGGCCAGCACTGAGACAAATATGGGGCTGTCATGACAGACCTCATTCTCAAAGTGCTAATTGCCTGGCTGACTCTAGCCTTTGCTGCCCTGAAACAAGCATGAAGCCATTGAAGACAGAATAAAGTCAGTTTGTTTGTAATAAACACGTCTTTCGGTGCATCTCTGTGTTGTTTTCAGGTTCTTTGATACGACCCCACTGGGATTAATATTAAACCGTTTCTCTGCGGATACAAACATCATTGATCAGGTGAGACACATTGTCCACTGTGTTCATTTTCTATATTAATAAAAGACAAGAGTCGGGCACTGTGACATCTTTATATCGTTATCACCCATCATTATATCGTTCTGTATGTTTGTTCCAGCACATCCCGTCAACACTGGAGTCTCTCACCCGATCCAGCCTCCTCTGCCTGTCCGCCATCGGGGTCATCAGCTACGCCAATCCCTATTTTCTGATCGCCCTCATCCCACTGGGGGTCGCCTTTCACTTGATCCAGAAATACTTCCGTGTCACCTCCAAGTGAGTATGAGTAGAAGGAGACACAAAAAAAGGAAAAAGATTGTACTGGGAGCTGTATTGTTCAAGGGGGTCACCCTCCCCTTTCATCTTCCAGGGAACTTCAGGAACTGGATGACAACACTCAGCTACCTCTTCTGTGCCACTTCTCAGAGACGGCAGAGGGACTGACTACAATCCGAGCATTCAGGTGTGTGACCCCAGGTGGAATCGTCATGTTTCACCATTCCTTATGGATGATCGTTTTTGTAGTAGTAGAGTATTATACCCTGTAAGTCCTCCATAAATGCAGACAGTTTGGAGTTTGTGATACCTTTTATTGGCTACTTAGTCTAAGTTGGATAAGTTATCCAATAAAGGGAATCACTTAAATGCCAAACTTTTGGCTCATTTTACAATGATTGTAGCAAATATCAAATTAAAGTTGATATACTGTAAACCCTAACTGGATGACATTCAGTTTGCTCTACGCATTGTGTATCATAACCATTTTTTTTCTAAATACATGTTTTCATCCTTTGCTCTATCTCAGAGCTGCTGATTTCCTGCTGCCTCTTCCTGTCTACATGCACCCCAGCGATGCCTGGAGCTTCCCAATTGTGACAACAGTGGACCATGTGGCCCACTTTTGTCAACATTAGAAAACTCCAGCCATCACTGGATTAAAAGGATTGAAAATTACTTTTAAAAAGACATTAACATGTAACCATCAGAAAACCCGCCTTGAGAAATGCCATGCAGGCATCGCTGGAGTGCATGTAGGTAGGAAGTGTCTTTTAAAGAAGTCGCAGGAGATCACTAAGCTGGAACAAAGGATGAAAAAATGGCAAAAACAAGGGTTTTGTAAAAATAAAGAAGGTCATGATCCACAGTGCTTAAGCAGGAAGACTAGTCAGTTGGAGATGTACAGTATGGGTACAGGACTCCCTAAGAGGCAAATGATTCTGGGTAAATAACATTTTGGCATGGCAGGCCAATATGTTCTGCTGTCTGTTTAGTAGAACACCATCCAAACTGTCTGTGTTCCCCTCATCCTCTTTGTATCCTCATACAGCTTCCGACTATCAAAATAGAAGTATCTGAATGGTGGATGTGGGCAGCACAGACATGTCCTATTTCAGACACTGTTATAAATTAGTTCTCATACAATCCAATGGACTGTACACAGAAGATGTATTTTCTTTTTTGTCCACTGAGGGACACAGGAAGACCTAACCTTTGGGTTATACTGCTGCCTGCAGGAGGATTGGACACGGAAAAATAAAAAACTGTAGGCCAGCCCAGAAATACAACTCCTACTACTAGCATGCTTCAGTTTATTGATTGTCTTCCTGTAGGATAGACGTCTTTTCTTTACCTCTGCTGCGAAAGGACTAATCTATTTTTACTAGGACTGTGTGTAAGCAAGTTCAAGATACTGTTAAGACCCAGAATGTTTGTCCAGAACCTTCTTTCTACCTAAGGTGCTTTTGGCCTTTATTTCAATCAGGACATCGCTCCTCTACCTTCTGTCTGGCTCCAGTTCCTCATAAGGAGATTTCCTTCCATTAACTGGATGTGGTTCAGGCTGAGAGTCCATCTCTCTGCATCTGCTTCCTTCAGAAAGACTGATATTTTTTTTTGTCATTCCATATGGTCCCAGTAAAGGTGCACAACCTTCTCTGCCCATTGAGGGACACAGGTCCCACCTCTCTGAGTTTATAATCATGCTCTTGGCACTGTTTGCTACAAAACTGAGGTATGCTGGTGGTTGGTGGTAGTAGACCAATTCTCCTGTATAAGGCAGTGTGACCCATAGGCTTTCTGTGTCTTTTCAATAGGCTCTAAGAAAAGGATTTTATCATTCAGTGTCTCATTGACAGTTTCTCCCCCGCAGGCATGAGTCCCGATTCAAGCAGCGCATGCTGGAGCTGACCGACACAAACAACTTGGCCTATTTATTCCTGTCAGCAGCCAACAGGTGGTTGGAGGTCCGAACGGTAAGGAGAGACTCACAGATGGTGAAAGGACTCTCTGCCCTCCTAATTCCCCCTCTCTCCCTCTCCATTCCTCCTCTCTCTGCTCTCCATTCCTCCTCATTCCTCTCCCCATTCCTCCTTTCTCCCCTCTCCATTCCTACTCATTCTTCTCTGTATTCCTCCTTTCTCCCCTCTCCATTCCTTCTCTCTCCATTCTACGTGTCTCCCCTCTTCAGTCCACCTCTCTCCCCTCTCAATTCCTCCTCTTTCACATCTCCATTCTACCTCTCTTCCATCTCTATTTTAACTCTCTTCCCTCTCCATTGTATCTCTTTCCCATCTCCATTCCTCCTCTCTTCTCTCTCCATTCTACATCTCGCTCCTCGCTTCTCTATCCCAACTCTAATCCTCCATTCTCCCCTCTTTAATCTTCCTCTCTCTTCTCTCTGTTCCTCCTCTTTTCCTTTTCAATTTTACCTCTTGCTCTTCTCAAGTCCTCCTCTTTCTCCTCCCCTTTCCTCCTCTCTCCACTTTCTATTCCCCCTATTTCTCCCCTCTCTATTCCTCCCCTCTTCATTCCTCCCCTCTGCTTTCTCCATTCCTCCTCGTATCCCTCTTTCTTTGTCCTCTCTCTCTCCTCTCCATTCTACATCTTTCCCTTCCCTATTCCATCTATCTACTCTCTGCAATCCTCCTCTCTCCCCTCTACATTCCTTATATCTACTCCTCCCCTCTGCATTCCTACTCTCTTCTCTTTACTTCCTCCTCTTTTTCTCCTCTCTCTCCTCTCCCTTACTCTTCTCTCCCCTCTTCATTCTACATCTTTCCCTTCCACATTCCTTCTATTCCCCCCTCTTCATTCCTCCTCTCTCCCCTCTACATTCCTCATATCTACTCTCTCCATTCCTCCCCTCTGCATTAATTCTCTTTCCTTTATTTCCTCCTCTTTCCTCTCTCCATTTTCTGTCTTTTCTTTCCCCTTTTCATTCATCCCTTTCCCACCCTCTATTCTTCCTCTCTCTATTCTTCCTCTCTCCATTCCTCCTCTCTCCCCTTTACATTTCTCATATGTACCCTCTGCATCCCTTCTCTCTTTTCCCTACTTCCTGTTCTCCTCTCCATCCTCCCTTCATCCTTTCTCCCCTCTCGTTCTTCTCCTTTCCTCTCTACTTCCTTTTTTTTTTTTCCAGGTCACAGTCATATACAGATCTCTTGAACTCGGCGGTCATAATGATGTGTAACAGATTTGAATGCAGTGACAGTGATTATTCCAAACTTTCCGCAGAGTCACACAGTTTAAAGGAGAAGTGTTCATTCTGTGAGCCCTATTATGGGGGGTCTCTGGGTCAGCAATACATTGGTAACAAATCTATTTGAGCTGTATTTTTCTGGAGCTCATTGATATAAACTGTATCAAAAGGAAAACTTCCATATTGCTTATAAAAGCCAATCAGATTCCAGTTGTCAGAGATTAAAAAGAAAATAATCTCATTGGTTGCCATGGACAATTCAGACATTCTGTTATATTGTGAAGAATGTACTTCTTTTCACAAGTTCAAGTGGAACTTTTCTGCATGATAGTTACAGAACGTATCTCTTTGTACTTTTCCCTTGCTGATGGAAGAGCGGCGTGTGCGTTCGTTATCATTCACCATGCTGAACAAATATTTGTACAAAAGAGAAAAACCTTGCTGTCAGTCAGTTGACAGAACACAGAGAACAACAAACTGTCCGAGGTGACAGGTAGGGTACACAGAGTGCCAACGTGCCCGCTGCCCCCCCCACCAAGAGACGAGCCAGGCGATGACTATTACCACGATGCTGGGCTCTACATGTTTACTTACGCAGGTCCGTCTGTCATTATGACGCAGCGCAGCCCCCCACAATGGAGCGGAAATGTCACGGCTGCATTTATATCGCTGTGTGATTAATATTTTCTGCAGCACAAGGTTACTGGCCAGACCGATGTATCAAGGTTGTGTTGCAGGATTGCGTTGCACCCATCTTACCAGACTTTACCACAGTGCATGGTAACGCATGACGCTCCATATGGTGCATCTCAATACCAATCATTAGGGGCCATTCACATCTCTTCTGTACTGAAATAGTGTATTCTGATTTCACTGCACACTGTGATCTTCTTACATTGGCATTAGAAGCTGCAGCAGGTCAAATAAGAGCCCATCTTCGTTCCAGCCTAGAGGGGATGGAGAACATCTAGCCATTTCCTCCCCAGTCTCACTTTCCCTGGCCCGCCCCTTTCTTTCATTGGATTTCAGTTATTTCAATCATAGAGGCTCAGCAACCACACATTATCTAGGGCTGTCTAGATGCAAATGCAGCCTGCCTAGGAACACCCACTCCTCCAGATGGACATCCACCCTTCAAGGCATTTTGATATTTGCATAACTCCTCCCAAGAGCCAGCCCACTGCTTGCATCAGGGTTCTTGAAAAGAGTACTGGGGCAGGAGCTACTGCTGCTCACTCCCACCAGCCATTATCAGCTTGCATTGCATGGAGAAGCACAGAAACCCACTGGGTCTAAAATAAGGTGGAGGTGCAAAAGGAGGAACCAGGGAAGGCAAAATAGAAGCAGATGAAACTCCAGCTCTAAACTTTGCTACTTATTTACAATGTCTCAGATTATCAGCTCCGAGAACTCTGTGCCTGAATCTTTGTGCCAAAATGACATGGTCCATACAGCCAGACCATACAGCTAAAGTTTGCAACTGTGGGCTGGAGATAGCCATCTCCCACAAATGACGGTCCTAATCTGAGCATTTCTTGTGGGCATGGATACAATCATGTAGTTTCTCCTGGGCAGTGATAATGATGGTCAGAAATAGCTGATATTGCACACACAGATGTTTCAAAATCAATATCAGTACACTCCAATCATAGTAGATCCTATCAGTGGTGGGACAGGTTCAGGCAGATGTCCTATCCAGCAACAGTTCCTGTCAGTTAACGCTAAGGCACCAATCCTCATTGAAGATCATAGTACATCCCATCGGTGGTGAGACAAGTTCATTGTGAGGCAGATGTCCAACCAAACAACAGTTCCTATTAGTTACCATTCAGGCATCAGACCGCATAGAAGATCATAGTAGATCCCAGTTGGTGCTGGGAGAGGTTCAGGGTCAGGCAGATATCCCACCAAACAACAATTATCAGTTACCACTCACGCACCAACCCACATTGAAGATCATAGTAGATCCTATCGGTGGCGGGACAGGTTCAGGGTTGGTCAGATGTCCCACCAAACAACAATTCTTATCACATACCGCTCAGGCATCAATTCACAAAGAAGATAATAGTAGATCCCATCGGTGGTGACACAGGTTCAGGGTTGGTCAGATGTCCCACCAAATGACAATTCCTATCAGTCACCACTCAGGCTCCATTCCACATTGAAGATTATAGCAGCTGCAGATCCCATTGGTGGTGGCACAGGTTCAGGGTCAGGCATATGTCCCACCAAACAACAGTTCCTATCAATTACCACTCAAGCATCAATCCGCATAGAAGATCACAGTAGATCCCATCAGTGGTGGGACGGTTTTAGGGTTGGGCAGATGTCCCACCAAATGGCAATTCCTATCATTTACCATTTAGATATTGGAATGACTTTATGGACAAATCCATGACCAGCAGATGACGTTATCTGTTTTCTGTGTGATCAGAACATGTATTTTGACATTGCATTATAAATGTATAAATAGCACAAGAAAACCCAATTTTGCCTTTCCGTAATCCCTTTTTTTTTTGCCCTCAGGATTATCTGGGTGCTTGTATTGTGCTAACGGCAGCCATCACTTCCATCACCTCGGGAATGAACTCCGGAGTTGTGGGTTTGGGCCTCACCTACGCCCTGACGGTTTGTATCTGGCCGTTCTGCCGTTCATACAGGAAGGGTCAGTGTATGGGGTAAAGTGAACCTGTCCTGTCATGTCTCTCCTCTGTAGGTGACCAATTACCTGAACTGGGTGGTGAGGAATTTGGCAGATCTGGAGGTCCAGATCGGAGCTGTGAAGAAGGTGAACAGTTTCCTGAACATCGAGTCAGAGTGTTACGAGGGATCTATGGGTGAGATGGAATTGATATTATGCGAGAGAGACACCAACACTTTGTCCTGTGAATGTCCAATATTTGAGAAATACATTCTTTGCAGTGTTGAATCTGAAAATATGATCACAAGACTGCTGATTCTCAGAGCTTGTCATTTTCTTAGATCTGAACTTTAGGTATACAAGAATGTTATGTATCTCTTAAAAATATTTACATGCAGTTTGTGTAAAAACTTTAATTTGATTTAATGTCGGCCCCCTGTACTTTCTTGTACGGCAGCACTCAGACTTGGAGAAGGGGGTGGGGGGAAGCACCTAGCGCCCTGTAGGTGTCCTGCATTCACATGGGCTGATAGGAGGAGAGAGCAGAGAGATTACCTCATCAGTCTTTTGCTGTTTTTTCACAGTCCATTTAAAAGCTGGGGGCGGGGCAGTGACAAAGCTGAATTTCTTAACTGCAGTAGAGAAAAGTGGGGTCATCAGGATGGCTGTTTGGAACTCAGAACTAAGGGGACAGAAATACAAACCCTTTGGCAGGTAAAACAGGTTCATTTAACCCTTTGCCTGGAGTTCTGTTTTAGAAATGTAACAACAAAGAGTCTCTCTGATGTTATTTATCAGAGTACAATAACAAGTGGCCCCAGATATCATATAGTAAGGGGCTCTGGGATTTCAGTAGGTGGCCCCAACAAGGGGCCACAGGGGACCAATAGAGGTAATTATAGGCTTGTGAGATTTCAGTGGCATTTCATACATGAGACTGATAACACTTCTTTGTTCCCCACATTTCAGATACACAGCAGGTGCCGGACGATTGGCCGAAGACCGGGGAAATTAAGATAAGTGATCTATGTGTACGCTATGAGAGCAACCTGAAGCCAGTCCTGAAGCATGTCAAGGCGTACATCAAGCCGGGGCAGAAGGTATGGGCAATTATAGGAATCCAATTGTCATTCTTCAGGTTCACACCACATGCACATACCAATGTCACCTATTTTAGTTTAACTCTATGGTAGAGTTAAACCTTCTGAAAAGTTCTTCTTTCTCACAGGGATTCAGGTAATGAGATACCATGTTTGTTTAGGCATCACCCAGGTTCACCCTGGTCACCCATGATACAATCATGAAAATCCTAGTGCCTCTGCAGTTCTTGGCTGTGTTCACAAATGCCTGGCACATATAAGCCCCTGCTGCAGCCTTTAACTTTGTAACTTGCTCCAAAAATACAGTGTTTGATCACTGGTGGAGAGGAGACTGAGAAAATGCTTCCTCCTGCCTGCAGCAGACTGATCACTGGTGGAGAGGAGACTGAGAAAATGCTTCCTCCTGCCTGCAGCAGATTGATGACATCATCTCAGCCTAGGCAAAGTCATTGGCCTAGATCAAACAAAACATTTTTAATGATAAAAGTTGGAGCTTTTCTGAAAGATGACATTGTTGCGGTATATAGTGACATGGCAGGAGTTATTGCCAGGTCCACTTTAAGGGTAACGCTGATGAATATATAAGAAGGATATCAGCGACAATGATGATAATAATTCCTCGATCACATTTTTTACAGGTGGGGATCTGCGGTCGGACAGGCAGCGGCAAATCCTCCCTCTCTTTGGCGTTCTTCCGCATGGTGGATATATTTGACGGTTGGTTCATATTTTTACCCATAATCCTCCTGTGAGTGTGAAGCTTGCCCTGCACTGGGGATCTGGGAACCTCATTATCATTGTCATAAAATACAGCCAGAATTGGGTTTTATTATACACAGTAGAGTGACGCGAAGAGAAACGTTTGCGCTGGCGGTTGTCTATATTTAGACGGTCTCTCTGCAGGAACGTGACGTCTGTTCGTTCGAACTGAATGTCATAACATGTTGGGATTAATGTCCGCCGCTGAGAGGTTCGCAGGTTGGAGCGTGACATTCATATGGGAATCGCACCTTTGAGGCATGATATAAGACACATACATAGAGAGACCATTTCCCGTAGGGTGCTGCCACATGTGTCTGATGGTGTGAGCTGATAGTCGCTTTTATATTCATCACGGGTATAAAAATCGACTTAAAAAAGAACTATGGGGTAACCTTCTTTCCCATAGTTCCCCATAGTTCCCCATAGTTCTCTTCAGGGTCACAGAAGGACATATGTTAACCTCCTCCCATGACCCAAAACTCTGTATAGAGCAGGCTATTGCCGCTATATACTGAGAGCTCCACAGCCGGGACAGATCCCGGCAATACTGTCAAGATCCACCCTGTTAGCTGATTGACAGCGGGCTCTGCCTATCTAGAGGTCAGCGCCGGAGGATCGGAGAGGGGAGGGAGGGGGGAATCCCTGCGGGGAGCAGTGACTGACAGTCACTGCTCTTTGCAGGGAGATGATCAGGAAGTCAGCGATCGGCGGCATGTGTTCACTGACTTCCCGATCAATAGAGCTGACCTGTGACAGCTTCAGTGTCACAGGTCGCCTTGAATTATGCGGATGAGTGTTTTTCACTCACCCCATAATTCTCCTGAGCGGTATGTGAGCGAATACATACCGTCGCTCGCTCACTTCTCGATCTATCCGTGCAGAGAGCCGTGACTGTCACTCACTGCTCCCTGCAGGGATTTCCCCCGCTCCCCTGTCCGATCCTCCAGCGCTGACTGGCGGAACGGACGGGGCGGGTACAGCGGGCTGTGCCTCTAGATAGGCAGAGCCAGCTGTCACTCACGCAGCTGGGCGGACCAGACATAATTGTCGGGATCCGTTCCTGCTGTGGCGTCTCAGTATACCGCGAGCTGTAGATCACGATATACTGAGCTTTGGGTGACGGGAGGACGCTAGTTTGTGTCCTCCCGTTACCCTTAGGAGAACTATGGGGAAAAGCCCTGACCCCATAGTTCTCCTTTAATAATAAGTGTTATCAATAAAACTGACTTCTTCCTAAGCAGTTTGGACTAAAGCGTCTGTTCATAAATGGAACGGATGAGCAAAATTGGCAAAAGGTAAGGTGAAATGACGGTGTTGTTTATAGTGGTTTTTAAGGACGCAACATTTAAATGGCTTTTGCTGAGGTTTACGGAAGTTCCTTCAATATTTTTAATTGTTTAAATATTTTTACAAAATTTGAATTATTTCTATTACTTTTAAGAATCTCTTTCTCAGCGCCTTTGATGTACAGAAGAGGTACAGTAGCAGCTGTCAATGGGATGGCTTTGGTTATCAACAATGTCATGTGACCACCATGTCAGCGCTGACTTTATATAAGCCTATAAAAATACTTCAATAAAAGCTGGAGGTTGGATGAAAAGCTTAGTGCCATATAAACACTTTATACAAATGTATTTATATATGTATACATTAGAGCACAAGGAGGAGGAAGGGGGGACGGAGGGGTCTTGTGTCAGTAGAGGAACAGTGGGGAATTGCACCGCCAGTGCTGCCTGTACTGCAGTCTGTCATTCATATCCCTGACCGGCCGCTGACGGAAATTTTTGTATAATTTTCTCCGGCAGGGAAAATTGTTATTGATGGAATCGACATTGCAAAACTCCCCCTTCACACGCTGCGTTCCAGACTGTCCATCATCTTGCAGGACCCCATCTTATTCAGCGGATCGATACGGTGAGTTGCATTTTGCAGACTGTCCTGAGGAAACAATCTAAAAGTTCCCCCAAAAATACTTTCTAACACTTTAAAATTAGTCAACATTTTAGGTTAAAAACTTTGTAACTTATCTCCCTCCCTATTACTAAAACAAGGTTCTAGAAACCTGAACATTAATTACAACGGGTCCACATCTGCAGCCGAGTTCTTAGGGGATTCTCCCCCTTCTTATGACCTGTTTGATATTTCACTTGGTTATCTCATAACGCTACAGATATTGGGTCCTGCCTACCCATGCATACTTTTGTTATTTTTTCGTTAATCTTTTTGTTATTTTGTTGTTTACCACATGTAAACTTAATAAAAACTTATTACTTAAAAAAAAACAAAAAACTTTGTAACTTATGTTTGGAAATTCATATAAAGTCACGCTGCGGCGCTAAGGCACCTCTGCAAAGTGCAGTTCCTAACTCTAAACTGTCTGAGCTCCCAACCTGAGACATACAGTATATAAAGCAATGGATACAATGAGCTTGGACGTAGCCCCCTTTTCTCTCTAACGGTACAGCAACCCACCAGAAGCCAAGACTGCTCAAGGCATCTGAAGACCCCAGTTCCTGATATTTTATAGCTGTTTTTTTTTTGTTATTATATGTATAAATCTTGATTTTACAAATGGACAATGAATACATGATAAAGGATACCCAGAGCACTACAGGCCATCTAACAAGAGAGGTTGTTAGATGGCCTGCTTTGAGGTTGGCTTTGTCTGAATGTAACCTTGAGCTCTGAGGGGGGGGCGGGAGTCACTGCTCATTTACTTCTATGTGTTCACTTCACCTTGAGCTGTTGAGCTCTGTAAAAGGTCAGGCTTTTTACAGTAGGTGGTAAGGAGAGAAAATAACAAAATAAATTATGTGAAAAGGAACCCAAGAGCACCACTTGCTAGCCAACAAATACATTGAGAGCAGGCATACCTTGGAGGGAGCACCTTTTTTTTTCTCTAAAGGTACAGCAACCCACCAGAAGCCCAACATCACTCAAGACAACTTAAAATTCCTAAAACTCCTAGTGTGGGTTTTATACCTGATTTTTGTTAGCTTTGTTTTACAATTGGACAATTAACACATGATAAAAGATTCCCCAAGCACTATAGGTCACCTAACAAGACTCTGCCTGCTTTGATGCTGGCTTTGTCTGAATGTTACCTTGAAGGGAGTGCTGGGGAGGAAGGGGAATGGAGCTGATGAGCTCTATAAAAGACCTGCTTTTTACAGCAGGTGGTAAAGAAACAGCGTAAATTATGTGAAAACCAGCCAAGAGTGATGTCAGCTGGCCGAGAGCAGGCGTACCTTGAAGGTAGTCCCTTTTTCTCTCTAAAGGTACAGAAACCCACCAGAAGCCCAACATCACCCAAAGCAGCTTAGGACCCCCTGTGTGTGTTTTGTACCTTTTTTTAATTATATGGATAAATCTTTTAATAACTAATACATGAAAAAGGATACCCAGAGCACTACAGATCATCTAATAAGGGAGACACTGCCTGCTTTGAGACTGGCTTTGTCTGAATGTTAACTTGAAGGGAGCACTGGGGAGGAAGGGAGAGGAGTCACTGCTCATGTACTTGTCTGTACACATCACCTTGAGTTATTGAGCTCTGTAAAGATCAGTCTTTTTACAGCAGGTAGTAAGGAGACAGAGAAGATGATGTAAAAAGGAGCCAAGGGTGCCACCTACTGAAAAAAATCTTAATCTTATGTTTTTGTCCTGACCATAAAAATATATATATATAT